GGGGCAAACGTAAGAAAACTCAACATGGGAGAGTCTCCCAGAGATGTACTCCTAGGGACACACCTAGGACATTTGTCTTGGGCTGGGAGGGTGACTCTGAGGGAGAGCACTTGCAAAAGCTTTAAAAAAATGTAGCCAAGCCAGGCGCCAGTGCCTCATGCCTGTAATCCTGGCTACTCAGGAGGCTGAGATCTGAGGATCATGGTTCAAAGCCAGCCCAAGCAAGAAAGTCTGTGACACTCTTATCTTGAATTAACCACCAGAAAACTGGAAGTGCCGCTGTGGCTCAAAGTGGTAGAGCACAAGCCTTGAGCTAAAGAGCTGAGGGACAGCGCCCAGGCCCAGAGTTCAAGCCCTATGACCACCATCAACAAAATGTAGCCAGGCACTGGTATCTCACACTTGTAATCATAGCTACTCAGAGGGCTGAGATCTAAGGATTTTGAAGCCAGCCCAGGCAGGAAAGTCCATGAGACTCATTTTCCATTAACCAACAAAAAGATGGAAGTGGAGGTATGTCTCAAGTGGTAGAGGCCTAGCCTTCAGTGAAAAAGCTAAGGGACAGTGCCCAGGTCCTGAGTTCAAGCCCTACTACCCATATACACACATACACACGCACACAACACATGCACACACACACACACACACACACACACACACACACACACACACACACACACAGTGGAGGACATTCATCTGGCAGGAGAGTTTCAGGGAGAAGCCTAAAGATCCCTCTGACACTAATGCCAATCTCCAGCCCCACTCACCAATGAGGAGCTCCAGGGCAATGCGATCAGAGGACTCATACTCCCGGTTCAGGAAGAGGATCACATGGAAGGGCTGCCCACGGCGCACTATCAGCTCATCATACTCAAACTCATCTGTGTGATGCACTCGTCGGTTCTGGTCTGAGCGAGAACTCAGCAAGTCCACACCAGTCACCACTAGCATGCCCTCTGCAAGGTTACATCTCTGTGTCAGTAAAGTCCCCACAAGGAGTCCCCTCCCTCATTAGCTTCTCAGTCCCTTAGAGACGCCTGGACAAGCCTCAGGTTCCCATTAAGGCTTCTCAGCTCTCAGTGAAGATGGACAGTTGCCCTCACCTCGAATGGTGCCATCACCAGCTGCATTTACACCTGTGCCCCGGGAAGGAGGTCTTCGGTCTCTAGAGCCAGAGGCTCGATTTCTGGAGGGTTCAGGGCCCCAGTCATCATCATCATCTCTATTTCGGCATGAACAGCAACCACAGCACCTTGCCCAGAAGGACCTCCTTTCTCTCCCTCTTCCTCTTCGATAGCGTCTGTCTGACTCTGGCTCTGGCTGTGGCTCTGGTGTGGTAGAGGGTTGCCAAGGGTTCCCACCCCAGCGGCCCACATCTGAGCGAGGACCCTCCATCGCACCTAGGAGGAATAATCAGAGGTACCTCTAATGACCCACTCAGATCTGCTGTACCCAAGATGCCCAGCCAATCCATCCAGAACACTCCCTCCAGAGAGATCATCCCAGGCAGATGACCTAGATTCCCCTAGACCCATCAGAGACCCTCCCCCAACAAACTTCATTCAGATTTACCCAAAGAAAGTGTCCCCCAGTGCAGAGAAAAGCCTTCCCTCAACTACAGAGACACCCACCAAATCACATCCAAGAATCAGATATCTAGTGGAGAAATCCACTGCAGGCAGGTCCCTTCTGAGAAAATGAACTGTATTGTCCCTTTGGCATACACCCTCCACCTGCCAGTGCCTCAGTCCAGGACACTGGCCACCTCTAGAACCTGTTTCTTAGCAGCAATCTTTCCATTCAAGGCTCCTCCACCAAGAGGGAGGTGTTGGAGATGGGGTCCGAGGAATTTATCATGTTGAGGCAAATCCCGAGTGTGGCTGCCAGGAGGGCTGGGTCACTCAGCAAATGCCAGGAGAGACATCTAGGCACAGCAGACAAGTTCTCTCTGACCAGTACTCTTCCTTTCTGGGCTTGACCTCAGGCTGCCTGGTCCTCAAGATTTTGCCAACTGCCTAGATGAGGCTCAGCACCACACTGACTGTGTCAGCCCTCACCTGGCAGCAGTGGTGATGGCAGCGCTGAGTCCCGGGGCTGAGGAGGCACAGGTCAGGACGGATGGGACAGGACAGACAGGCTGGACGCCACCGCACGACTGGAAGGTATGGGGCGGGCCTGGTAAGTGGTTTATGAGGGGAGGGAGGGCGGGGCGAGCTACTGGAAAGAAGGGGAAGCTGTTGCTCCATCCTCCCCCTGTGGAGCAAGAGGCCAGCCTCTGGGGGATGTCTCCAGAGATAGGGGTGAGAAATAGACTGGTCCCACCCCCTTTTCCCTTTCTAGGAAAGGAAATGATGCTCACAAGGGGGCGGGGTCCAGAGCTGTCATAGTTGAAGCTGGGGTGAAAAAAATTGGAAAACTCTAGAGGACCCCCAGAGTGATGGACAACACACCAGGCTGATTGTTCCTGTGTGTGAAGAGCAAAAGGGGCAGAGAGCTCCTCCCATGCAGTCACATGGCAGGCATTTTGTTTTAAGCAGAGTAAGCTCATTTTTGCTATAATAGTCCTCTGCTGCCCAGGCCAGGCTTGCTCTGTGAAACTGGCCCAACTCTGAGAAACTGGCCCATGTGTCTGGGCCTGGAATTCATCCTGCCCAGGGAGGTCCCAGCATCCTGGGCTGCAGAGTGATGACATCAGTAGCTAGGCTCTCAGACAGGCTCTACCAGCCAGCCCATGACCTGCCGGCTCTACCAGATCTTCTGACACCCCCCCCCCCCCCCAACACACACACACCTGACTGTTTCCTCCAACTGTTTCACAGCCCCCGGTATGATTGGGCTGCCCCTCAGGTCCCTGTGTCTTCCAAGCTTGGGATTAAGAGTAGCAGCAATCTTGTCTTCTCACAGCCTGAGGACTTAGGGGAGGCGTAGGTCTTGGGTGGAATACCAAGCTATAGCAAATCTCCTTCTGTCACTGAAGAGGAATGTTGGCCAGTTAAGAGTTGAGAATGCTCAACTCCTTTTTTCCAACCTGGACTTCTTCCTGAAAGTCTATCCAGCCCAACCAGCTTCAGGCAGCTACTTAATGTGTTTTCTAACTCCATCCTTGGGAGAAACATTGGAGATGTCCCCAAGACACTCTCAAGACAGAGAGGAGCCAGGCATCTTCAGGGAGGCTCTCTCTGCTCTGGGGCCCCAGCCAGGGGCTCTCTCCAACTCACTGGGGCTCAGCTCTGCCTATGGGACACCAAACAGAAGATAACGAAAGCAGGACTGGTGCACGTGCGTGTGTATGCACGCGCACACATGCATACACACACACACACACACACACACAAATAGACTTGGGAAGCAGATTTGAGAGGTTGTTTGGAGATGTATCAGGTAGGGAGGTACCTCAGGGAGTGGGGAGAAGGAGGGTTTAGGAACTGGCAGGGAGTCCTCCACACCCACACTGAGTTTTTCTTGTCCAGCTGCTAGTCCCAGAAACTGGCAGAGGGTCAGTACACACACCAGTGAAAACTGAAATCTTAGGCAGGTATGACTCAGGTCAGCCAAAGGACTTCATCGTAGGCCTACATGTTTGTGCATCACTTGGGATACGGGAAGGGGCAGGGCCTCAAGTGGTGGATGGGTAAGCACATGAGCCCAGGCAGAGCCCAGAGAACCAGGAAAATGTCTTTGTTATAGTCTCCCTCTTGTTTCAATCTTTTTTTTTTTTTACCCACCCAGCAAGGTTTGACTCAGCACCCTGAGCCGTTCCCCATTTCTTCCTCCTGGAGGCCTGGTGCCTCAGGGCTTTCAAAGTAAAGACAAGGTATGGGGGCAGGAGGCATGATGGGAGCAGGCATGTAGCTCAATCCCTCAATACCTCAGATACTAGGTACAACTATTGTGAAGTAAGAAAATGAGACTAGAATATCGAACCAAGTTGTAGAGGACTTTGGCTTTGCCATCTAAGAGCAGTTAAGTCTCAGCGTTCTCTGATTTCAGTAGAAATAGGCCCAATCAGCTCATTCCTGAGACTGTATGAGGATCAAATGGGTTCCAAGAGTTTTTCAACTTTAGAATGTTAGCTGGGAGCTGGTGGCTCACAACTGTAATCCTAGCTACTCAGGAGACTGAGATGTAAGAATCAAGGCTCCAAGCCAGCTTGTTCAGGAAAATCCACAGGACACTTATCTCCAATTAATCACCAAAAAACCAGAGGTGGAGCTGTGGCTCAAGTGGTAGAATGCCAGCCTTTAGTAAAAAAGCCCATGCCCTTGGGTCAAGTCTCAGTACTGGCACACAAAATAAACCAATAAATAATACAAATAGAATGCTGTTCACAAGGCTAACATTATTGTTGTAGAAGGGAGGGGCAAGGGTGCCCTGATCCTTTTTTTTTTTTTTGTCAGTTGTGGGTCTTGAACTCTGGGCCTGGTTTTGATGTCCTTGAGCTCTTCAGCTCACAACTAGCACTCTACACTTGAGTCACAGCACCACTTCCAGTTTTCTGATGTTTAATTGGAGATAAGAGTCTTATGGACTTTCCTGCCCAGGCTGGCTTTGAACCTCGATCCTCAGATCTCAGCCTCCTGAGTAATTAGGATTACAGGCATGAGACACTGTGTCTGGCTCCACTCTTTCTTACTTGTGATAAAAGCCAGGGCAGAGAAGGCATCTTTAAAGATAAGGAATGATGGAGAAAAACTTATGATCTCTTCTAGCTGGAGAGACAACTCCTTTTTAGATCAGCTTAAACCAGGACTTGATCTCAATCTTTAACCCAATCTGGAACCTGAACCCAGCCCCAAATCAGAAGGCACACTCAAAATTGAGCCAGAGCACTGAATTGTATCCCTAACACTGAGGCTTTGGCTCTCCATCATAGGGAATATTGGGGTGAAATGCATTAAATGGAAGCAGAAATACCCAAGTCTCTTTCCTTTCTTTTTCCCAAAATATCTGCTAGTAGTAATGGGGAATATAGTTGAATATAGGACAACAGCTTGGCAGCCTGAGGGAGTGTCTCCATTTTTTATTCAGTCCCAATAAGTTAAAGGGCAAGAGTGGAGTCAGGACTTCTTAGGTGAGGATGCTGCTAACAGAAGGCAGCAGTTCAGCCATATGCTCCAAGATGTCACCTTCTTGGCACAGTGGGTTTCCCTGTAGATTGAGGAGACCCAGCTTGGGACAAGAAGCAAGAGGCTGGAGTGCTTCAGGCTGCTGGAGGCCTTGGGAAAGAAGAGTCAAGGAAAGTTTAGTAGGTTCTCTTGATCCATCTGCTCCAGGCAACTTGAATGCCTGGAACCACTGCCTGGAAGCCTGCTTGATGGACACGTCCTGTGCTTCCTAAAGAAAGTAACACCTGCCTACAGTGGCAGAAGCTTATGAAGCAAACTGGTATGGTACCAGAAAGAGTGGTGAAGACTGTGGCAAAGTGGCATTCACTATGTAGCAAAGGTTGAGGGCTACTGAGGGAAAATAGAAGTCCAAGGTTGTTCTAAGTTGAGCACCAGTGGCTCACACCTGTAATCCTAGCTACTTAGGAGGCGGAGATCTGTGGATCATGGTTTGAAGGCAGCCCAGGCAGAAAGAGTCCATGACATTCATGTTTATCACCAAATAACTGGCACAATTCTGGAAATGGAGGTGTGTCTCAAGAACACCAGCTTTGAGTGAAAAAGCTAAGGACAGTACTCAGGCCCTAAGTTCAAGCCCCAGTACTGGCATAAACACACACACACACACACACACACACACACACACACACGCACACACACACACACACACACAAATGTTGCTCTAATTTCTAATTCAGGAACCAGAGTTCAAGATTTTTTTTCTTCAAATATGAAACTTACTGATTCTCATAATACTGGATAGTTCCCAAGAGTATCAGTCGGTTGTCCATTTGGTGACCTCTGGGTTGAGGAAGTCACATTGTGCTCCTCAGTTCAAGTTAATGACAGTGCTAGAGAGTCAGTTCTCTCTGCCAGAGCCCCTGTCTCCAACCAACCCTGACTTGGGTGGCGCCCTGTCTGTGTTTGCAGGCTGTCCTTCTGGGCATGTACCTCACCCCAACACGGTTTGTAAGACAGATAGAAGAAAGGATACGGTTGTTGCACAGTAACAGTTCCTGTAGCCTGGGCAGGTTAGCAACGCCATCCAGAGATTCTATGGCATTATCACTGGCCTGCAGCACCTAGGGATCAAAGCAGCCAAGGCCAAACAGGCAGCTGTCAGCCTGGGGCTGACACAGCAACAGAGGAGCCCAGCGTGGTCAGCTTACACTGCATGAAAGGGTTCCTGAGTCCAGACTGAGTGATGTGGGGGAAGGCTAGGAGGTTACTTTTGGAAATTAGGAGTCTTTTTTTTTTTTTTTTTTTGCTGTGGGGTCTGAACTCTGGGCCTGGGCGCTGTCCTTCAGCTCTTCAGCTCAAGGCTAGCACTCTACCACTTGAGCCACAGCTCTACTTCCGGCTTTTTCTGCATATGGGTGCTGAGGAATTGAACCCAGGGCCTCATGTATGCAAGGCAAGCACTCTACCACTGAGCCACCTTCCCAGCCCCTAGAAGTCTTGACCATCTCTGTAAGGTCGGCAGACTTCTGAGGTGGAGGAAAGAAAATGCACTGCCCATGACAATGAGGGAGGAGTATTTTACCTCGAGGCATCGCAGAGCAGCCAGGGCAGGAGGCAAGGTACGGAGACGATTGTGTGATAGGTCAAGATGGGTGACTAAGAGAAGCTGTTCCAGATGGCAGAGCACTGTCAGATCCTACAGGTAGAATGGGGATGAAATACCCAGTCCTTAGCCACTTGACCTCTGTGTTCTACATCCCCTGGGGAGATGCTAGCTGAGAAGAGGCTGGCAGTAGGTGAAAAGTTTATCTTACAGACTACAGCAGCACATGTTACATTTAGACAGGGGGAGAAGGGGAATGGGGAGGGGGCGAATATAGCTCCTGGAAGTAGTTGGGAAGAGGCCGCCTGGAATGTGGAAAGGATGGGAGACCATGTTGGGTACTAGGGTGAACCAAGTGACTGGCAAGAGCGGGCTTGATAAGCCAGTAAGAATCCTGCTTGGAGCAGAGGTGGGTTACAGTGATATGGTAAAGTGGTTGTCAGGAATACTCATTTTGGAGGATGAGAAACAGAAAATGCAGAACCTGGAAAGTGTATCACAAATCTCCAGTGGCTCACACCTGTAACCCTATCTACTAAAGAGTCAGCCTGGGTAGGAAAGTTCATGGGACTCTTATCTCCAATTAACCAGTCAAAAGCCAGAAGTGAAGCTGTGGGCCAAGTGGTAGAGTGCTGCCAGCCTCAGGTGAAAAAGCTCAGGGACAGTGACCAGGCCCTGAGTTCAAGCTCCAGTACTGGTGCATGCACATACACGCACACACAGAGTGCAATCTCTAGGAACCACTTGGGCTTCATGTTTTGGGGTCTGCTCTAGAGTGAGAGGCATGCATGGCAGGGGTGGTGAGGGACAAACAGAAGGCAGAACAAACGTGATCAGTCCACCCTGGTAGAAGGGACTACACAAACCCTGCTGACTCAAGACATGAAGTTAGGGGACTTGGAAGGACAGTGGACCAGTAACAGAAAACAGGCCTGGAAGAGGAATAGAAGGGAAGGATGATAGACTTAATCAGGATCAGCCTTGGGGAAGGTACACACACAGCAATCCATACCTTGTGAGCCAGGTGTAGCACGCGTACCTCAGCATACTCCATTTTGAGCACACTGTTCTCCAGCAAGAATTTGCTGCGCAGGTCATCTAGGTAGGCTGCCCGCATTGGATCCACAGCCTGTTGGGGATGGGATACGCAGGTGTGTATGTCAGCTGCCATCCTCCTGCCCACATCCAGGGCATCTCCCCAGCCTGTTCTCCCAGACTCAGCTTGCCTTGAGGGTCTGGAAGTACTGCAGTGTCTCCTTCTCATAAAAGAGGGGGTCCAGTGCCCGCATCAACAAGATGATGGTGAGCAGACACCCTGAAGGGAGGAAGCAAAGGACTTGGCTGGCTCCTACCTCTGTTCCCATCCTCAGATCCTTCCTTCTCTTACCAAAGGTTGACTCTGACTGGGGCTCCTTAGACAGGGTCTATTCCTTGGAAATGGGCCTTACATTTGTTCTCAGGCTCCAGCTCCTGTAGCTCCTTACAAGATTCAAGCTCAGACTGGAGCACCGTGGACTTCTCCACCGACAGCTCACATCTGAGAGAGAGCACAGTAGGGAAGAGATGATGCCGACAGCCTTCAGCATTCAATGTGAAGCCATCTTCCCCAGGCCCAAGCCTTTTGCCCTAATTGCCATCTGATGCTCAGTCTAGCGCCCCCTCCTCATCTGCATGCTTTCCTTCATCACCTGAACAGCTGCTCATCAGTGGCTGAGTCCCGGCACCAGCACTCCTGGCGGCCTGAAGGAAATGGCAAGGGATATCCATGAGGGGAGGAGAGGGGTCAGGGTATTCTGCAAGGGCAGAGCCACAGGTCATATTACCTTTGAAAAGTACACACTCCTTCTGGGAATCGCCTGCTGTCCAAATGACATGAAATGTATGCTGGGGCAACTGGTCATTGAGGGAAGTGGTAGGCAGGTCACAGAGCTGGGAGCACTGGGTCAAGGAAATGTTCTGGCTTCTTTTCTGAATGTCCCACCCTTTTCTGTCCCAAGCCCTCATTTCTGTCCCACCAATTCTAGGATACCCAGACAGGGCTGTGCCGATTCCTGCCATCTGGGGTCCTCCACTCCACAGTGAGAGGTGACTTATCAACCATAAGTAGCAAGGTCTCCGGTCTGGAGCCCACCTAGCATAGGAAACAATGAAAGACCCATAAGCTCCGATAGCACCAGACACACCATCCCACCATGTTCTCTAGTGAGAGCCAGTAGACTCACTAGGACAGGCCGAGAGAAGCAGACAGTCAGACAGGCCTCATCCCGGCTCACGTGCACGCAGCGCAGAGCATCCTGAGGGTCAGCTGAGGAGAGACATGGACTCAGGTCTCCTTAAATCTTCCATTTTTTCCAAACCCAAACATGCAGCTTCTTCCTCCCTGCTTACCTCGACCTAGGAGCCAACGGTGATAGAACCAAGCACTCTGATCATTGGGGTCAGTGAAGAAGGCATTCTGTACCAACTCCAGCTCTGTGGAGGACCAGGAAGGCAAGGAGCTGGTTGGCATGCTGGAGGGCTTTCGGCCACCCCAACAAACCACTTTCTGCTTGGAATACCTCAAGCTTATGTTCTGGCCTCACATAGGGGATGCATGCATTTTAGCCCCACCCTATCCTACACTTGCACCAAGGGACTGAGTCTATGTATCCCAAAGCCAGGCAGGAAGTAGATGCTCAAAAAAAAAAAAAATGAGGGTTGAGAATGTGGCTTAGTGGTAGAGTGCTTGCCTAGGATGCATGAAACCCTGGGTTTGATTCCTCAAAAAAAACAAAAAACAAAAAAAACAGAAGCCAGGTGCTGTGACTCATGTAATCCTAGCTACTCAGGAGCCTAAGATCTGAGGATCTCGGTTCAAAGCCAGCCCAGGCAGGAAAGTCCGTGAAACTCTTATCTCCAATAAACCACCAGAAAACCAGAAGTGGTGCTGTAGCACAAGTGGCAGAACACTAGCCTTGAGCTGAAGAGCTGAGGGACAGCGCCCAGGCTCAGAGTTCAAGCCCCACGACCAACCAAAAAACAACAACAGAAAAAGCCAGAAGTAGTGCTATGGCACAAGTGGCAGAGTGTCAGCCTGGAGCAAAAGAAGCTCAGAGACAGGGCCCAGGCCCCGAGTTCAAGCCCCAGGACTGGCAAAAGAAAAAAAACAAAACAAAACAAAAAACCCCCAACCAAATGACTGGATCAGGAACAGGGTCAGGCAGACATTAGAATTGTAAAGGTGGTGCTGAAGAATCTCCACCTCGTCCCTTGGCCCTGCTTACCTTTGAGCAGCACATCTTCAGGGAGGCGCCCTTGGGGGCCAGAGTCTGGCTGGGGGTGCAGCTGGGGCAAGAGGCAGGAGCGATAATGCCAGGAGGAATAGTTGGAGAAGTTTCGAGTAATGAGACTGTCAGTGAAGGCGAGCTCTTCTGCAGGGGCCACAGCTGCCTGTGCAGCCACAAACCGCCGATAGTCCCAGCAGTGAACTGGGGGAGGGGGACATAGGAGATAGCATGGTATCCTAAATGTATCTTCAAGTTCCCTCAGAGACCCCTAGAAATACATCAGCATATACCAGAATATACATTTGGCTCTGTCGTCTCTTATTTTTTGTAGTATTATAGTTTGAACTCAGCACCTTGAGCTTGCAAGGCAGGAGCCTTCTATCAACTTGAGCTCTGTCCCCAGCCTGTTGGTCATCCCTTTCAGCACCAGCATCTCAATCCTGGATTTCCCTCCCAGCTCTAGGCTTTCTGAGGCCCTAGTCTCAGGATATAGAATGCAGGAGTACAGGATCTTTGACACGTACAGTTCCGCTCATCCACCTCAAGGAAGCAAGCACATAACTCCAGTTCCCGGGCCCAGTTGGGCTCAGGCAGGCGGCTTAGCAGCCAACAGCGATGGTGCCAGGTACCATAGGATTTAGGGTTCACACGCAAGCAGCTCTCTAGGAAGCTGAGTTCGGTCTTCACCAGAGCAGCCAACTCCTCGGGGGACCTATACCCAGCGGAAAAGGTGGATCAGGGCCTTCTAACATCCAACCTCAGCTCACCCTTCACTTTCTGCACCCAGCACCCTACCACCCTATCCCTAGATCCCTGACTACTCCAGTCTTCCTCCACCCATGGACCCAGGCAGGGCAAGGGAAGAACCAAGGCAGATTTCCTGTAACCCTGAACTCCTACACACTTCTGGGTCTCCAGCCGTTGAAACACCTCTCGTCGACAGTTCCAGAGAGTGGCAAAATCAGGGTTGGCTCCCAGAATCTGGCTTGTCAGTTCCAGCACTGACTCATCTAGTTCACCAGCCTGGCGCTGAGAAGAGAGGTAGCAGGGTTAGATGTAGCATTCTCACAGGCCTAAATAACTCAGAACCACTCAATAGTCTGTGAAGGCCAAAACATAACAAACACTATGCAAAGTGTTTTACTCACAAGTATTCTCTCATTTATACTCTTATGTAGTATGTACAACTATTAGCCCCATTTCACAGACACGCACACTGGGGCTCAAATTCAACATGCACAAAGTTACTCAGCTAGTAAATGACAGAATGCGAATTTGGATCTAGCCAGTTTGACTCTAGGGCCCAGCTCCTGGGCTCGGTGCTATTCGAAGGGGGCCAGGTGGAGGAGGTAAGGGGCTACTTCTGAGGGCCCCACCTTCTGGAAGACAGCTTGGGTGGCTGACTGGTAGAGCTTCAGCTTCTGCTCCCTCTCTAGCCTTTTGGCCTCTGCCTGCTCTTGTGATGTCTTCACCTTCAGGCGCCCGTGCTACAAGGATGGGCAGGTTGAAAGAACGCAGGTTGCCTTGCAAAAGGGCAGACCCACAGAATCTCCCGCTGGAGCGTTCCAGGTTCGTCAGGAGGAGTGGAGGCACCGCCGGGCGGGGCGAGGGTGTGGGCATGCAGAAGTGAAGTGAGGGGCTGCACCCAGGGTTCTCACCATGGTGTCGGGTCAGCGGTCAGGGTTAGAGGAGGGGTCCCGTGGTAGCCCGTGGGAGTCTGGGGAGAGAAGCTGTCAATCACGGGGCCTCGGCCCACTGGCCCCTCCCCCAGGGGTTCCCCGGAAGTAGCGCGCGCGTTCCCGGCGGAGACCCTTAGGGCGTAAAGGGGTCCTAGGACTGGCATTGTGCCTCCAGGAGGAGGCGCTCCTTAGGACTGGGACCTCCACCGGTTGCAAGCCTTCCTCTAGCCCGATGCACCTGGGCTGCAGCCCGAGCCCAGGTGCCCGGGTGATAGGGACGACTCCACGCCCAGGAGCCTGCCTGCCATTACCCGCCCGCTCGCCCGTCGGACGGCTCCCAGACACCCCCGCCCCCACCGGGAGGACCCACCTGCACTGGGAGGAGGCGCGGGGGACGCGGAGCCGCGGCGCACACCAGCGAGTCGGCCGCAGGCCAGAGAGGCGCCACGCCCTGGCTCGCTCAGGTGCAGCGCCCTCTGCCGGTCCGGAGAGGGGCCCCGAGGCGGAGTAAGCTGGGCCTGGAGGAGCTTCTGGTTAGAAAAGGCCAAGGTTCACGCTTGGAAAGAGCAACTCACACTGCAGTCTTAGTTTCTCCAGCAGCCGTGTTAGATCCAGACGGCCAGATAGCCCTATCTTGAGGCCCCAGAGCAGTGCCTTGATTCATTAACACTCCAGCCTCGCCCTCTTTCCCAGACCAAAATGCTCACCGGTGGCCTTATTTCCCATCTTTTGTCCCACCATTACTTACTTTCAAACCACCTCCACTAGACAATTCTAGCATTCTTTCAGACCCATTATAAATATAGCGATTGTAAGCAAAGAGTGAGTCTCTAGCCTTGGCTGAAGGTTTCCCCTAGTAGATTTCCCCCCTAGTAAGCCTGTGCTGCTGTTGAGTTGCTTCTTTGTCTACCCTTTCTTTCATCTTCTTTTTTCTCTTTTTGAACCTAACAAACTGAAAACCCACATCCTCAGTACTTTGACCTCATTCTGGTCACACTTGCCCTGCAGCAGTCATATCTGATGCCCATTTCCCATCTTTATCTTCCCTAATCTTTAGATCTTTGATGTCACATAACCAACCTTTTTCTACTTTACACCACTGGTCTGGCTGCTCCTGTACCATTACCCCTCTTTTTAAATCTATTCCCCTTTCTGAAATGTTGGTGATCTCTAGGTCCTCTGGCTCACTCCTCTCACTAAACACTCTATACAGGAACTTTATACACCATCTGGAATGTCCATGGAAGTCATGTTCACCTTGAGTCAAAGTTGGAGGAGTTGGAGAGCTCTGTCTTTGGTCTAACATGTCCTCTGACCCTACACTTTCTCTTGATGATTTCATCTACACTCATAGTTTTAATTACTACTTGTATGTGAATGACACCCAAATTTATATCTCCGGCCTGGATGTCTCAACAAGCTTTAATGATAATAAATATCTTTATATATGCATACATTAAAGATATTTAAAAACCTGTTGGAAAGTCAAGCATGGTAGGGCATACCTGTAATCCCAGCTATTCAAGAGGATGAGGCAGGATGATTGTGAGTTCCAGAACAGCCTGGGATACATAGCAAGACCCTGTCTCAAAACAAAAGGAAGCCTTTGAATAGTACCTGGATGTCCCAGAGATATCTTAAATTCCAACTGGTATTTTTGTCTCCCATCTGTCCCATGTAAACAATTGGCCTTTATGTTTTGTACTGTGAATGACACTGTTTCTCCTCTTTTGTCCTCTTTCTCAGTTTTCAAGGCCTAGACTGCCTTTTACCTTGAGATTCTCCTATCAATACTTTCTGAGGAGCTTGGATTTCTCCTCATTTCTTAATCTCTCTGTGTGTCTCTTTCTGTCTCTATCTCTGTCTGTCTCTCTCTTTGTCTCTCTGTCTCTCTCTGTTGTTCCCTAAACCAATAAGACTATCTCAAAGTTCTCCATCTCTATCCTGTACCTCTGCATCAGCTCATTTATCTGGGCTACTGGATCAGTCTTTCAATAATGGAGATTCAAAGTCCTATGTGTGCCTAAAAGCCCTCAATAGTTCTTAATAACTTTTCAGGACAGAATTTGATTCTTACAGCTTATGTATAGAACCTAGCTATGGAACTCCTAGCAGCCTCTCAAACATGTTTTATGTCACACACAGCACTAAGCCATATCTCTAGTCTCCACTCTCACCCCCCCCCACACACACACTTTGGTGGTAATTTTTTGTTTGTTTGTTTTGTTGATCATGGAACTTAAACTCAGGGCCTGGGCACTGTCCCTGAGATTTTTTGCTGAAGGCTAGCACTTTACTGCTTTGAGCCATAGCTCTACTTCTGGTTTTCTAGTGATTCATTGGAGATAAGTCTCATGGACTTTCTTGTCTGGGCTGGTTTTAAAAACGTGATCCTCAGATTTCAGCCTCCTGAGTAGCTAGTATTACAGGCGTGAGCTACCAGTGCCTGCCTGCTAGTTATCCCCCCCACACCTCCACCATCAGTTGTGGGGCTTGAACTCTGTGCTTGGGTGCTGTCCCTCAGCTCTTCAGCTCAAGGCAAGCACTCTACCACTTAAGCCACAGCGCCACTTCCAGTTTTCTGGTGGTTTACTGGAGGTAAGAGTCTCACGGACTTTCCTGCACAGGCTGGCTCTGAACTGCGATCCTCAGAACTCAGCCTCCAGAGTAGCTAGGATTACAGGCATAAGCCACCAGCGCCCGACAATTTTTCATCTTTATAACAAATGTGCAAAGAAACAAAAATTCAAAAATATTGAATAACTTTCTGAGAATCATCCACAAGGTAATTAGGCACATAGGACCCAGTGTCTGGTTCTAGCCAGTCCTTCCACAATGCCACCTTTTTGGCTACCACCTACTTTTGCTTCCTTCTCCATGTATACTGAGAACTACACCCAGATACCAAGAGCACAGATGTCCACAGATGCAGGTTTGCCAGGAAGAGTGTTACATCATAGTCACTAAAGGAGGAGGAAAGGGGGGGTAGATAACGATTGAGGTAATCATGAAATACTGTTTAGTGATTAGCAATCTTGAAACTGGAAAGGATGAGTCAGGCAGGTTTAAGAGAGGAAGTGAGTCTCATGAAAAAAATGTGCATTCAGAAGGTTGATCCTGGGCTTTGGAGAGAGGGGGCAGGAAAGGCATTTCAGGTGTGTAGTATGACGTGAGGGTGGGGGAGAGAAAGCCAAACAGACTTATCTGTCTGGAAGAGAAAAGTTGAGCCAGGTGCCTTTGGAGATAAGAACAATGGAATTAATTACAAGCCTCCTGCTTGAAGGTAAAGAAGCTGTCAGGAGTTATATTTGGTCTTCTCCATAAGATAAGTTAGAACCAGATAGATTCCTGAGGGCGATGAGCTGAAAGGTGTTCAAGGAAGTTTTTCTCTGCCCTCTGTTGAGAAGGAACATGCAACAACTGAATATTAATCATCGAGTAAATGAACTGAGTCCCAGACAGCTTTCACAACGTTCTGTCAAGGTAAATAGGTATCAACAAAGAAGCAGTGCATCCAGAGGGCTGACAAAGGTTAAGCAATTTGCTCAAAGTCATGTAGCTGGGGTAAAACATCAACAGAAATCAAACCATAGTCTAGATGTCTGCTGCATATGTGGGAGTAGCCACTGCCAGAGATGCAATCCATAGCCTCCTGAGACCTAGCGGTCCAGGTTTTTCCACAGTGATGCCTCTTCCTCTGCTAATCCTGTCTGTACGCTGATCCTAGTGTGTGCACACCTGATCGCACACACACACACACACACACACACACACACACACACAGCCTCTAGGATACCAAACACAGACCAGAAGACCAGAGATGGTATGAAAGGATGAAAGAGTTTTGGGTTAAGGCTTCTGTGAAAGCTACACACACACACACACACAGCCTCTAGGATACCAAACACAGACCAGAGATGGTTTGAAAGAATGAAAGAGTTTTTGGTTAAGGCTACTGTGTAAGCTAACCTACAACAATGTTCTTTCCTTTTCCTCCTCCTCCTCTTCTTCCTCTTCCTGCTCCTCCTCCCCCCTCCTCCTTTTCCTCCGTTTCCACTCCTTTTCATCCTCCTTCTTGCCAGTAGTGGGGCTTGAACTCAGAGCCTGGGCCTGGGCACTGTCCTTTAGATTTTTTCTCAAGGCTGGTACTCTACCACTTGGACCACACCTCCACTTCTGGCATTTTGATGGTTGATTGGAGATAAAAGTCTTATGTACTTTTTCTTCCCAGGCTAACTTTGCACTATGATCCTCAGATGCTCAGCCTTGTTCTTAAGACAGGAGGCAAAACTAGGAGGTAGGCACTGAAGCTATCTCTGGATATTGTGTGATGTGTGGCAGTGTGGAAGCATTCCAGTTTTGATCCTTAGCATCAGAGATAGGCATCACAGAGTGCTGGATGCCTAAGATCAATCTAGTACTGGACTCCCCTCCCCAAAAGCACCTTTGCTACCTGCTGTGACTCACATCTGTAAATCCTAGCTATTCAGGAGGCTAAGATCTGGAGGACTGTGATTTGGAGCCACAATGAGCAGAAAAGTTTGCTAGACTCTACCTCTGGAATAACCAGTAAACACAAAGGCTAGAGGCATGTAGTAGAGGCTGGTAGTGTATACAACCTAGCAAGCACAAGATCCTGAGTTCAAACTCTAGTATAAATAAATAAATAAATAAATCTCCACTTTTCCTGGAGTTTATATTCACTGTCCTATGTACATTTTTCAATAATGGAGAATAAATGGTTACTGAGCACTTGAAATGTGATTAATACAATTAAGGCTATATGGGCCTCTTAACAAGATAGGATAGGACAGATGTCCAGGGCGAAACTGAAGCTGGAGAAGGACAAGGACTCATGGGATCCATAGAAGGAGCTCCTCACTTGGACTCAGATTGACTTACAAGACACTTGTTCTAGATCTGGTGTTATGTACTTTCCCCCTCCTTAAGCTTCAGATGCTTCTTTTATTCCTGTAAAACTTGTCAATAAGGAATAATATATAAGCCAGGCACTGGTGGGTCATGCCTATTATCCTAAGGAGGCTAAGATCTGAAGATCACAGTTTGAGGTCAGCTTAGATGGAAAAGGGCATGAAACTCTTATCCAGTTAACCACCAAAAAGCTGGAAGTAGAGCTGTGATTCAAGTGGTGGAGTGTTAACAGCAGGGACAGGGAGTCCAGTGTCTGAGTTCAAGTCCTAGGACCACCATGGAAAGGAAAGAAGGAAGAAAGGCAGGAAGGAAGGAAGGAAGGAAGGAAGGAAGGAAGGAAGGAAGGAAGGAAGGAAGGCAGGCAGGCAGGCAGTGGGCAGGCAGGCAGGCAAGGAGGGAGG